GCTTTTAGCTTGGTTCTAAAATCTAGAATTAGGTAAGATCTAAACTCGATGAATTAGGGCAAACCTAGCCTGACATTAGGGGAAAAAACTTTAGCTAAGACCTAAGCTAAGACTAGACTGGAACCTAGACTTATTAGACTCGATGTATTTTGGTTAAGTCCCTAAACTAGGGTAAGCCTAATCTAGCTCTAGAGGCTACTATTAAGCTTAGACCTATGCTAGAACCTAGATTAAGATCTAGACTAGATGGTGCATGAGTCTCGGCTCGGACTAAGAGTGGGTCTAAGTTTAGAAGGGTAAGCGACCCCAATGTATTATTTTATTTTTTTAATTTTTTTATATTTTTAATTTTGATGAAACACAATTAAATAAGCATGTTGAAAGCAAGAAAATATGATTTCAGTCAAAATTAATAAATTAAAATAAAATCAAAAGGGTAGAAACAAAACATATCTATCTTAAGGAAAATACTTTTTTATATTTTTAAAAATTTTATTTTAGGTTAAAAATAAGTCAACAGGGAGCCAAACGTCCTTGGAATGGTCCTGTGGGGTCCCAAAATATTTCTGGGATAGTTGCAGTTGGGCGACCGAGTGGTGTCGCCCAGGTGGCACTAGTGGTGTTGCCCTTGGTGGGCGACACGGTTGGTGTCGCCCAAAATATTATTATTTTTTATTTTTTATATTTTTATATTGTTAATATTGATGAAGTAAGTCTACTTTAAACTTGGAAGTAGCAGGAAAAAAAATATATTTATGGTGAAATAAATTAAAATAAAATAAAATAGAAAAACCCAGATTGAACTGAAAATTATTTGTTTTGTATTTTTAAAAATTTTATTTGTATTTGAAGTTTTTTGTGAAGTTACAAAATAGTCCCTAGAACAGATCCACAAAGTTCCAAAGGTTTTTGAGACCTTTGAATTTGGGCGACACTGGGAGTGTCGCCTAGAAAAGCAGGGTTTCGGAGCACCGAAACCCTGGATTATATCACAACCAACGTTTGGGACCTTTTGTGACTGAAAGAACTTAAAAAATAGTGAATAAAAATTGTATTTTGAAGCTTGGATGAAGCTTGAAATAGCCCCACGATGGGCGCCAAACTGTTTACTATGAAAATCTGACAGATCTTCCGATGAAGATCTCTTGAATTTTAATAGCTTAGACTAATTAAATTTTTTAAATAAAGTAGTAAAGAAAGTGGCAGATCAAATTCAGATCTGAGGCCAGATTTGCCCGAAAACGAGCAGATCTACTATGAGATATGTGGCAGAGCCAGTAAGATCCAGAGCAGTAAAATATGATTTTTAAGACAAGTTAACAGATCAAAAATAAATAAAAGAAAAAAAATAGTAAAAAGAAGAAGAAAGATAGAGGAAGAAATAATACTAAACCGGGTTCGATCGTTCAAGATTCTCGAGCCTTCGAGGGCTCACCCGTATCAGAACCGGTCCTCTTTGCCACTCTGATTCGGATGTTAACCAGCAGATCTCTAATATAAAGGCTTATATCTAGGGTTATTGTGCCCTAATTCTAGTTTTGATTTAGGGTTTTTGTGCTCTAGGTCTAGGTTTTCTCAGTCTTGAGGGTTAGGACTTCAAGAGGCTAAGGTTTTTATCTTCTCTAGGGTTTTCAATCTAGAGATTTTTCTAAAGCTGTCGGTCTTTCGTGGGGTCTGGATGAGAATTTCCTTAGTTTTTTAAGGGTTTTGTGATCTCCTCAAGCTAAATATGAATTCTGAGCTTTTATCTAATTTTTGGAGATTTTTCTTAAATTTTTAGGAATTTTTTAAGGGTTTTTCTTATTTTTGATTTTTTTTGGAAATTTTCCTAATTTTAGGAAGTTTTAAGGTTTTTTTTGGTCTCTTTTTCTCTCTCCTTTTGGGTTTAGGGGGAGGGGGTATTTATAAGATTCAATTGGTGATCTTTCTTAAATTTTTTGGAGTTTTTTTATTTTTTTATTTTTTTGATTTATCTTGAAGTTTTAGCTATATCTAATTCAAGAAAATGTATTTACTACATCATCAGATGCGTTGATTGCATCATCAGCCCATGTCTGGGCTTATCGGGTACGTTACAGCCCGGGCCACGGCCCGACAGTTGAGTGTCATAGGGATTAAATTGTCATTGTTATATCTTTTTATCCATATGTTCGATTCAGACGATTCTTGGACTGTTGGAAAGCTCTTAGGCTCTATTTCAAATTGCGATAGGATTTGGGTTGTTTTGGGGTAATTAATTGGTCCACTAGGCTAATGTGGTCCTAAAGGTTTAGAAAACCATAGAATTTGCCATATTTAAAATGGGATGTCTACATTTAGTAGACATATTCTGTTAAGGATTCTTTTGTTACAATGTAACCAAATAAAAAATCTATGTTAATATAAAGAGAGCCTATAATGCAATTACTCATGACCACATGAACTTTTAAGGGTTAGTTAGGAAGGACATAAAACATGCTTAATTTTATTTATTTATTTGCCAGATAGGTTGGGAACAATTCCACAAATGTTTATGTCTTCTTTCTTTTTGTTTTTTCTTTTTCTTTTTTTTCTCTATCAATGGTGGGAATGAACGGTGGGATATTATGTTGAGGTATCTAACCCCTAACCACCTGTGACCCACCCCATTTCCTTTTGTTTTAAATTTTTTATAATAATTAGAAACCCAATTTATTGTTGGATTTGGTGATATCCAAAATCACCCACATAAGGAAATCCTACGTTATATAGAATTGAGATTGATATTGATAAGTTTCCTAAAGGAACTAGAAATCCAAAAAGATTAGTATTCTTGAATATATTTCTTGATGTTTAGATATATGTAACATCTATAGGAAGTTTCCTATTTAGTGTGGATTTCTAACTTTATATATATGGGATTAAAGAGGAAAGATGTGTATCTCCTATTTGGGTGACCATATGGGAAACATGGCTTGCTCTAGAGAGAGAAAAATAGGCAGGTGCTTCCTGCGCATGAGAGGCAAGGCCTTATTTTTTATAGAGAAGCAGTTCTCATTGATATTTTGGGAGGTTTCCGCTTTTAGTTAGAGAGAAAGTCAGTTTCTCGTTGCTCTCACGTTTCTGTGCTTGAATATTTGAAATTTTATTCGTAAATTGAGTAAATTGTTTATGAGATAATTTTAGATTAACACAAAAAAAAATTTGATGTAGAAAATCAAGTAACATACATAGGATATTAGTTTGAGTACTAATTAAGGAAAAGTCTTCCCAATGTCTATAGGCGATAGGGATCAGTGATTTCGCCCTTGCTTTATCCACCGTTTGTTTAAATGGGATGAAAGGAGTGGTTGGGATTGAATAAAAAAAAAAAGTACGAAACAAAAGCTTCAAACCCTCAGAAATTTCAACCTACCCCTCTCTTCCTACTTCCCCAGCTCTGTGAGCTTCCCTTTCTCTCGCTCTCCCTCCCTTTGCTCTGCTATGCCTCTTATCCTCTCTCTACGAAGCCTCTGTCTTGCTCGCGCTCCCATCTCTATTGCCCTCTTTTCTCACTACGAAGCTTCTTGTTGCCAGATCCACATACGCAGTTCTTCAACAAACCAGGTGAGTCCTTCATTGCCCTCTCTCTCTCTCTCTATGCCACACACACAGTTCTTCTTCTCTATTGCCTAACCAACAATCTCTCAATAAACTCTAACCCAAATCAAGAATAAAACCCCATTTTTTCCCAAAACCAAACCAACACTTTTTATTCAAATCCCAATTCAAAATATTATAATAAAACCCTACTTTTTTACCTAATAAAACACCAAAAACGGGAGAGAAAATCACAGACAGAGAAAATAGAAGAGAAAACTACATATGAGATGAATTTTGGATTTGGTTAAAAAAATTAGGTGATTTCAGTTTATCATAGTTTAAATCTAACCTTATCATGAATACACACCAAATATTGTTCTTTGATGTCCAAAACAATCCCTAAGTGGAAGTTGTGAATGAAGCCCTCTATATTATAGTGTTAGATGCAGAATCAATCAGTAGAAAAAAATTTTACTTAATAAATCACGAAAATGGACTGCCTCAATGTAAAATGAGTTTGTTCTTTTTTTCTTCCTTCTTGTTGATAGAAATTGATTTTTTATGGTATTATGTTGTTAATTTTGGTTTGATTTGTGGATTTTTTATTGATCATTCATTGGTCAAATGGGTGGTTTTAGTTCCTTTCTCTTTTGTTGTTTCTTTTTTTTTTTTTTTCATTTTTGATAGAGTCTTGAAGTGATTGTAGAGAAAAATTTTGGAGTGGTTTTTTGTTTTTGTTTTACCGATCGATTGCTTGTTTTTGTTTTTTGTTTGGCAACGTTTGTAATGCTCGGAATTAATGAGAAAAAAATATTTATTGAGAAATGAATATTAAAAAACAAATCATGTTTTTTAATTTGCCGTGGAGCATGGATGTAGAACATTTGTGATTCTGAGTTGATGTTGTTATTACTATCATTAGTATTTTTTGTTCCTCTTTCTTTCTTGGAAATAGTACTCTCTTCGTTGGTTCCTCAAAAAAGAAACACACTTTGTTGGCATGCATATGATACGTTTTTCTCTCCCTAAATTTCGAAATTTTGACTTTAATAAATAGTTTCTAGGTTTTCATTGCCTTCATAAGTTTCATTTGTAAGCTTTTGGCTACTTTTTGAATAGATGATCTTGGATTAGGCAAATTACTTTCTCAAAAAAAAAAAATTCTTAAGCAAATTAACTTGGATTTAGAATAACATGATTTTCTTGCCTCATTTTATGTATAAAAGTAAAATGAAATTTTTTTTTAATCTTGCACTTTTTGTAGTGTAGCCTCCCCATATAGAGGAGCTCTATTATCTTTTGGTGAGATTAGCAGGGTTGGGCAGGACTCCTACTCATGTGTTTAGCAGGGTTGGGCAGGACCTACTATGCATGTGTCATGGATGCCTCAACATCAACATCTTCTTCCTCCCTTCAACATTACTAATTCAAAAAATGGGCATGAGTGTAGTGCTCAAGCTATGCTGGATGAAGCTTGTCATGATTCTCCATTTGATGAGGACATAGTTGCAATAGATGGAGAAGGAGATCCTATACTTATAGATGCAAAGGCAGCCCTAGCAAGAGGTGCAAGTATCAAACCGGCAATAGAAATGGCATTTATTGACAAAGATGAAGCTTATGATTATTATAATAAGTATGCAAAATTGGTAGGGTTTGGTATAAGAAAGGAAAGGACCATATGGAGACATGGTGGAAGAATTAGTCGGATTTTAGAATGTTGTAGGCAAGGTTTTCGTAGTGAGATGTATGATGGAAGTGAAATTGCTCACCCCAACTCAAAATGTGGATGTCAGGCAAAGACCTGCATTAAGAAGGATGACAAAAATAGATGGGTTATTGCGAAGGTTGTAAAAGAACATAATCATATTCTCACAACGTCCAACAAGACTAGATTCATTCACTCTCATCGAAAGATACTAAACACATTGAAAAAGATGATTGACACATTGTAGTCTTCTATGGCTAAATCTAGGGTTATGATGGATTATCTTATTGAGGAGACCGAGGGGTAGAAAATGTCACTTTCATTGAGAAAGAATTGGAGAATCACATAACTAGGAAAAAAAAAACAACCGAAAGGGAAAGAGGGTAATGTTGTTATGAATTGGTTGCATATGAAGAATGAATTGGACCCTAACTTCTTTTATAGAGAGCAACTTGATGAGATGGGGAGGTTGTTTGGTGTTTTATGGGTTGATTCAAAGTGTATATTGTCATACCAACTTTTTAATGACGTGATAACCTTTTGACACCACATACCAAACAAATGAATACAGTATGCCCTTTGGCCCAATTGCCCTTTGGCCCAATTAATCATCACGCTAACACAATTTTTCTCAGATGTGCTCTCATCTTCAATGAGACTACAAAAAGCTTCATTTGGTTATTTGAGAAATGGCCAGAGGCAATGTGAAGCCGCCAACCAGGTACAATTATCACTGATCAGGCTTTAGCTATAACGGCAACAGTTAAGATAGTTTACCCAAATACTAATCATCACTATTGCAAGTGGCACATCATGGGAAAGTTTAAAACACATATAAGCAATGTTGAGCGTGCGCACTCATTATTCTTAGAAGTATTCAAGAAGTGTATTGCAGCCTACACAGTTGAGCAGTTTGAGGCTGATTGGTTGGCTATGACTCAGAAATATGATCTTCAAGAGGAAAGTTGGCTCAAGTGGTTATATGGTTATCGCACTGAATGGGTTGATGCATACATAGCTGATAGATTCACAACCGGCATGAAAACCACACAACAAAGAAAAGGGTTCAATCATCATTAAAGATGCATGTCACTTCTGATACAAGTTTGCAAAAATTCATGAATGATATTGAAAAGTTGCAAAAAAACAAGTTCATCTAAGAAAAAGAAAAAGACAGTAATGATCTTACATCCACACCTGTTTTAAAGACAACTTTCCTTATCAAGGAGCATGCAGCAAAGACATATACTCATAAAAGTATTTAAAAAGTTCCAAGATGAGGTTGTAAGGTCCTCAAATTGGCTTAGCAAATTAATCGAAGGCAATGATGAATTTGCCAAATATAAGGTGGAAGACATTCACGGTGTGCCAATCCCTCGGACGGTTACATTCATTGAATCAGGGAAGAAGTGTACATGCACATGTTAGTTCTTTGAGCGTGTTGGAATCCCTTGTTCACAAATGCTTAGAGTGGTCAACATGAGGAATAAATTGAAGATCCCATCTACATTTTGAACCATTGGACAATAGATGCGAAGAAGCGTGTCAAAGACAAATGTGGTGCTAGTAGTTCAACTATTTCTAAATTTCGAGCTTTATTCTATGTCATGAGCTTTATGACCTTGTAAGAACAATTGTACAGTCAGTAGTAGAAAATGATGATCTATTTGAAAAAGTGAAGTTGAGTTTCTCCAAGTTAGTTGTGGAGGTCAATGTAACAAGAGAGTCTTTGTCGAATACATATGCACCATCAACCTCCACTCATTGCAGTGCCGATGAAGATGAAGTATGTGGCAGTATTAGATCAGTTGCATTCAGAGTCGTCCACTAATTCCACTAAGGGCACCAGAGTGTATGAGGATGTTCACTCTCCTTTCGGGCTCCAAGCTAATGCCTCCCCCCTTATGCTTGATCCACCATGTGCACGAGCAGTTGGATGACCAAGGACTAAAAGGATAAAACCTTCATGGGAGGAAGGGCCAAAATCTTCTACCGAAATAAATTAGTCGGAGGAAAAGCCACCCACTAGAAGGAAGTGTAAAGTTTGAAATAAGTGTGGACATGACAGGCATAATTGTCTGGTGAGGGCGTGTGGGATGTAAGTGCTTGTTTGTTTTATGTATTGAACGCAATAAGCCTAATTGTTTTTAGCTTTACTTTTCATTTGTCTTCTGCGTTATGTATTGGACTTAAAATACATCTTTCTCTTATAGAGCTACTATGGACCTCGAACCAAGTTGAGGCCATGAGAAACGAAGGGCTGCAATTGCATGGACGATATGACAAATTGTGACACATCGAGGATTTTTTTTATTTGTATTGACTAATTTTTTGAATTTTGGAGACATGTAAAAACCCATTTTTGTAGTTGACTTTGGGGGTTATGTGAATATTCAATGAATCTTGCTGGCATATAAAGGACCTATTTGTGGGGCATGTAAAGGACTTGACTAATTTTTTGAATTTTGGAGACTTGTAAATACCCCTTTTTGTAGAAGACTTTGGAGGGTTATGTGAATATTCGTTATTTATGTAATTTTGCGAGCATGTAAAGGGCCTCTTTACGGGGGCATGTAATGGACCTCTTTATGGGGCATGTAAAGAACCCATTTTGTGACTTTTTAGTGACATATGTGTGATATTTCTTTATTTTCCATGTACGTCATTAACGTGTGCAACATGGGTTTACTTGGATAGTGAAAGGCATTTATATCTCCACAGTTCTCACTTCATTTTATTTTTTATGCTGAGCGTTTGATACATTCTCACCTTTTACCATACCAGAAGGCGTATAGAACAGCTTTATAACCATCACGGACCTGCTTTGGATAACCAACTCTCTCTCATAGGCCTCGGATTTATGATCTCTCTCTCTCTCTCTCTCTCTCTCTGTTTATGTATGTGTCTCAAAAAAAACAAAAGATATACACTGAATAATACCAGAAACCAGATAATTTCATTCACAAAATATTACCATTGATTAAACAACGATCAATTACAATCATTTACAAATTACTGGAAAGATATAAGGAGGTTAAACACCTCATGAAATGGGATAAAATCAGATACAAATAAAGCTTCAAAAAAGGTAACCTAATTGAGCTGACTCAACCACCAACAAGTATTTTATTTATTTATTTTTTCTTCAAGTTTCATTTTTCCATTCGAATAATGCAGCGAAGGCCGTCCCCTTTGAGTATGTATTAAAAAGTTTTATTGTTCTATGAGAATGAGACTGAATGTGTGATGAACTTCTCCATGTGACATGTACCTTCTTCATGTATTTGTCGGCAATAGATGGAAGATCAGATTGTAGCTTATAGTTTCCAAAGAATGTTCCTTTGAGAGTCCTTTCATTGAGCACATTCATTTAGTGTGTCTTGAACACTGCATCCTTGTGAAGAACCCTAACAAGCATTGTTGCACTGCATCCTTCTTCATGTATTTGTTGACAAATATGCAGTATCTAGAAGGCATTTAGATTTCGACTTGAATTTATGGTACATGACCACAATTAAAAAAAAAAAAAGGAATATAAGTGTCATAAATAGCACATGGCAAACAAGCACTGGAAGAACAAAATAGCAATAGAAGCAGGGGTACGTGAGAAGGATGACTAGTTTCAAAAAGATCTATAGCTTAGAGAACCAGATGGTCATAAAAGAAACTCAATATATATGTGTCTAGGCACATTATTGTTCAAATGTAGAATCACAGACAGAATCTTCATGAGTTTTATTCATGACTCTGACATAGTCACTATTTCAATCCATAGGCATCGAGTGCACAATAGATGTGTAACCTACTCCAAATACTCACGGTAGGTGCAATTTTGAAGAGGGAGCTACAACCTATGTACCAATGATCCTAGATTCACATCATCATCAATTCTCTATGGCCATTTGGATGCCATTTAGAAATTCAGAGAGAACTAGATACTCAATCACACTTTTCATTAATAGATGTTGTACATTGTAATAAATATAAACAAATAATATCATCATCATCATCCAAACCTTATCCCAATTGTTTGGGGTTGGCTAGAAGACATAATGTACTCTCTAGAAAAAAATAATACTCACAACTTCAACATTTTGACGTGTTACTGTAGGTGGCTGGAATGTGGCTACCAATGAGCTGGTTATTATTAAGTTGGCTGCAAAACAAATTAGAAGCAAACATTACATACTCGAATGCCACTTCAAGTCCGGATGTTGTACGATAAATCCATACTTACAAGTGAACCAAGTGGGGTAATTTAGAAAGTTCTACTGGAATTTGCCCACTAAGTGAGTTATTGTTCATGTGACTGCAAAAGGTATATAATTTTCAAAGAGACATACATTACCAAAGGGCCAAGTAAAGGTGCAAACTAAAAGAAAAAGTAAAAAACGTTGTGCAACTTACTAGTGCTTTGTCATGTTTAGGTTTGCAAATGACTTTGGTATTGGTCCTGATATATGGTTGAAGTCTATTTGTATACGATCCAAGTTAGGAAGATAACCAATCTCTTCTAGCAAAGAACCAGTTAATTGATTCCCATTCACAAGCCTGCACAATAGGACGTCGTAACATCTTAACATGCATTCCAATAAAGAAACATCAATAAAGAAACATCATAGATGTTAAAAGCTTCATTAACAAACATCAGTAAAGAACAATTAAAGGATTTTGCAAAAAAATTGGCAGATACCACATGGCACAAGTCCGTCCACTGCACCTATTACTATATCAGAAGACATGTACGAAAAATACATATCAGAAACGCAGTGAAACAAATATATTGATAGGGCCTATCAATATACTTCATCACAGTCGGTTCAAGTAATTGCCTTTTTCTAATAACTATGCCAAAATATTAGATACAACGCATAAAGTTATTTAAGCAATGCCGAAACTAGGCCGAGTAGTTTTCTCATGTTATCCGTGATCTCATGTGTTGTGGTCAAGCTCAGAATAATTTGCATAAGCCATGCCGAAACTAGGCCGAGTAGTTTTCTTATGTTGTCAGTGATCTTATGTGTTGTGGTCAAGCTCGGAATAATTTACATATTGGTAGAGCACAAACGTGTTCCAATTCTTCTCATATCAATATAGATATACAAGAAAATAAATCAGAACATATATGCATCTTATGCTGATCTTCCCTTTTTTTTTTTCTTTTGATAAGTAAATTCTCCGGGTTTCCCACCAATGCTCAAACAAAACAGTCCATGTGTACAAGTTGATATTAATATCCGGAAATTG